TGAGGCCAGTATTATTCTGATACCAAAACCAGATACAGACTACAAGAAAACTACATACCAATATTTCTTATAAATATAGATGTAAAAATCCTCAAAGAAATAGCAAACTAGGGGCCGGCCTGGTGGCACAGTGGTTAAATGCATGCGCTCTGCTTCAGTGGCCCGGGGTTCTCAGTTTCGGATCCTGGGCACAAACCAACGCACCACTTGTCAAGCCATGCTGTGGCAGCGTCCCATATAAAGTAGAGGAAGATGGGCACGGATGTTAGTCCAGGGCCAATCTTCCTCAACAAAAAGAGGAGGATTGGCATCAGATGTTAGCTCAGGGCTTATCTTCCTCACCAAAAAAAGAAATAACAAACTAAATCTAACAACATATAAATAGAATTATACCCCATGACCATGTGGGATTTACCCTAGGACTGCAGGGTTGTTTTCACATCTGAAAATGAATTAGTATAATACACCATATCATGGGACAAAAACCACGAGTGTCTCAATAGATTCAGAAAAAGCATATGACAAAATCCAATATACTTTCTTGATAAAAACACTCAACAACCTAGAAATTGAAAGAAATTTCCTCAACCTCATAAAGGGCATCTACAGAAAACCCAGGGCTAAAATCATAGTTAATGGTGAATTACCGAATGGTCATGAAGAAGACAAAGATGTCCACTTTTGCCACTTCTTTTCAACACTGGAATAGAAGTTCTAGGCAGGATAATTAAGCAAGAAAGAGAAATAAAAGGCTTTCAGATTAGAAGGAAAAAAATAAAACTATCTCTGTTTTCATATGACATGCTCTTCAAAGGAATCTACTAAAAAAATACTATTAGAATAAATGAGTTATACAAGGTTGCAGGATACAAGATTGATATACGAAAATCAATCTTATGTGTATATACTAGCAAAGAACAATCTGAAACAATTTCATGTATAATAGCATCCAAAAGAATGAAATATTTCAGAATAAATTTTAAAAAAATCAGTGAAAAATTATATGCTGAATCTACAAAACAAGGTTGAAAGATATTACAGCAGAACTATACAAATGAAACAACATTCATGTTCCTGGGTCAGAAAACATAATATAGCTAAAATATTCTTCAAATTGATCTACAAACTCAACACAATCACTACCAAAACACCAAGTGATATTTTTTGCAGGAAAAAAGCTGATCCTAAAATTCATACCGAAATGTAAGTCTCAGAACAGCCAAAGCAATCTTGAAAAAGAAAAACAAGGTTGGAAGTCTCTTGCATCCTGATTTTAAAACTTTCTACAAAGCTAGAGTAATCAACGAGGTCCCAGCATAAGGACACACATATAGATCAATAGAATAGAATTGCATGTCCAAAAATGAACCCTCATATTTATGAACAGTTGATTTTTGACAAAGGTATCATATAATTCAAAGAGAAAAAAAAAACAACAACACTCTTTTCAATAATGGTCCTGGAAGAATTGAATGGCCATATACAAAATAATGAATTTAGACCCCTACCTCACACCATACACAAAAATTAACTTGAAATGGACAGAAGACCTAAGTGTAAGACTAAAACTCAAAGAAGAAAACATAAGGGTAAATCTTCATGACCACGAATTTGGCAATGGATTCTTAGATATGACACCAAAAGCACAAGCAACAAAAGGAACAATAGATAAATTGGATTTCAACAAAATTCAAAATTTTGTGCTTCAAAAGATACCTACAAAATGAGAAAGAATATTTGCACATCATATATCTGAGAAGGCCCTTGTCTCTAGAATATATGAAGAATTCTTATCATTCAATAAAAAACAAGATAGACAATCCAAGTAAAAATGAGCGAAGGATCTGAATAGACATTTCTCCAAAGAACGTATACAAATGATCAATACGCACATGAAATATGCTCAACATCATTAGTCATCAGGAAAATGAAAATCAATAGTACAATGAGAGAACACTTCACACTCACTAGGATGGCCAACAGCCGTTGCTGAAACAGTTCATCAACACTGGAAACTGTAGTTTGCATTGTCATGATAATCAGTGGAAAGTGGCACTGCTGCTTCCACTGTTGTTGCCAGAAAGATTGGTCTCTTTTGTCAGTGTCTCCAGATGAACTGTATGGAGTGGGTGCATCTGATTAGCCGAGGTTAGGTTACCTCCCTACATACTTGCTGCCAGAGAATCAGGGAAAGAGAGAAAGCGTCTCCAGCTTAATAATCAGAGGCAAGTTCAGCTTTTCACCAAGACTTGAAAGATACAGAATTCCTCAAATACAGAAAAAGTGTACTGATACTCAACAGTCAGAAAATGAAAAATGTCCACCCTGGTGTGGATTGTGGATGTGGGTACTTGCATGTAAAAGAAGCTATTCAGACCCCGACATATATTTTCATTAAAATGTTTAGAAGGTTTTAATACCAAAATCGTATCAACTGGAATTTTGGTTTTTTTCCCCTTCTTCTACTAACCAGTATTTTGTAAATATTTTAAACAATGAAATAGTACTTTTAATAGTAAAACAATTTTCATTATTTTTTAAATCATTACTAAAGTAATCTCGAATCATTGGTTTATTTTTTGTAACTTTTAAATCTTCCACCTGGTTGGTAGAAATACCCTACTTGAATATTATAGACATTCCTCCAACAGCTTGTTTTCATTTTAATTAAATTTCTGATATCATTCATGGCACTTTGAAAATGATTGTCTTTTCACCTATGCATTTGTGAAAGCCTCACATCTTATCATATCTGTCACTCCTGGTTCAATCATATACTCATAAATCTTCCGTGGACAGTGTGGTCTATTTCTAATGAAAGCCTTCAGCTTAGAATAAGAAGCATTTAACTGAGGCGCTTTTCAAGTCTACTTTCATTCAAATTGCCAAGGAAGCTTTAAGTACCGTGCTGTCCAAATGACTTAGTGAAATTAATGATCCAAAATAAAAGTTAAAACCTCTATAGTCCTTTCTGGAAACAAAATCAGGGCATGGAAAGCTGAGGGACAGCGTGCCACAGAGGTCTCACTATTAAGTGAGAGGCACCAGCGCTTTTCTAAGGGGCCAGTAAATCAACATAATTTCAGATTCCCAGGGTTCATTGAAAAGAGCAATTATGTTAGTCAAAATAATAAGGTTGAGGCTGGGATCTGAATCATATGCCAAGTGTGATGAGAATGTATATATTGAGGATCCAGGGCAACAGAATACTTTTTTTTCAAATGCAATGTGATTTTGTGATAAGGTTAAAAGCACTGTTTAACAAACGTGGGTTCATAGCTAGACTCTGAATAGTTGTTCGACCTTGGAAATTGTTACACACGGAAACCATTACATGAAAACAGGATGCATTAAAATAATTAGACTATTTTCTGCCCATACCAGAAAGATAAATGATTGTGTGTATCCATAACTTTACTCCACTGGCAAATGGAACAATGAATTCACAAAATTTAATAAATATAATTAACTTTCAAGAGGCTCCTTCCTCTGAGTTATTCATGTATTAACTAATTCAGGAAGTATTTATTGAGCACCTACCATGTGCCTGGCCCTCTAGAGACGTTTGTATGAGTGTGGCAGCACAATGAGAAACAGTGAAGGGGAGAATGTGCGTGAAGACACTTGTTTTCAAGCAGCTCATATTGGGGGGAGGGAAAGTGGAGAGCAGCTCAGAAGATGCACATGAAAATATCACACACACACACATACACCCACACACACACACAACTTACTCACTAAGGTATAAGGTGCTCCATCATTATAATTAAGGTTTTGGGGAGCCTAGAAGAGAGTGTGATTCAGCTCTGAATTGATTTCACAGATTAAAACTTCTAGTATTTTAGCCAATGATCATTAAGGTCTTTCCTAACCTGAAGATTTTAAAATAATATGACTTAATATATCAGTCATATCAATAAAAGTGAAAGGGCTTAAGCCATCTCTTAAAAGAGAAATTATGTTCAATTCAGCTAGGAAAGAAAGACCCAACTATAATCTGTATCCAAGAGAAACACCTAAAAAATACTTCAGAAAGGCTAAAACACAAAAGGATGGACAAATATATACTAGGGAAATGGAAACAATAAAACAGGCATTGCTCTGCTGATTTCAAAGTAGAATTTACATTAAAAAGTATCAAATTCACTAAAGGACACTTTATTAATGCTAAAAGCTACAATTGAGAATGACTTTATAAGCTATGAATATCTGTACAAAAAAATGACAACAACCATCTTTATAAAGCAAAAACTGTAGGAGATACAAGAGTACATAGATAAAAATATACTAATAATGGAACAATTTTAGCCTCACTCTTTGTACAAGACAGATCAAGTGACCAGAAGGTAAATAAGAATATAGAGAACCTGAATAACATAGTCAATAAGGACAATCGTACGGCTAGAGTATATTGAACTGTGTCCTGATGATAGAGAATGTACCTTCATCTCTAGAGCATAGTCACAAAAATTAGTCACATGTAGGGCACAAAAAGCGTTAGAAAGTTATGTAAAGTAGAAATAACACATATTGATCACAATGTAATGACGAATAAATGACAAGCAATAGGATACATTGGAGTATATGAGGAAGCCATTTGGTTTCAAACTAATTCGACCTGACCATGTTTTTCCAAAAAGGCCTGAAGTGGCCTGTTGAGCATGCACGGTACATCTTCTTTAAACATTTACTGTGTCCAAAAGACAAGAATGATGCCCTTAAAGATAGAGATGTATTTTCCCCCCTCTCTGGGCATTTCTTTACAGATAAGCACCTCCTCCTAGAAACTAAGGATTAATTACTGACCTGCTGCACTCACCTTGTGACCACGGACCTGCTGGGCTAGCTCAGCATCTCATGACAGTAGTAAAAGAGATATTCCTGCCATACCTGATGTGTGCTCTTTGTTCCAAGATGGTATATAACCACTCTGTACACCCCACTTCTTTGGTGTGATTCCTTCCTTGGGGAAGGAAGGCCCCAGGCTATAGTCCTCAGACCTGGCTCATAATAAACTCACCCCAATTTTGATTTAATAGATTGATTATGCATTATTTGCATCGACAGCAATAGAACTAGAAACTAACAACAATATGAAAAACAAAGCCCTCAACCTGAAAATTAAAAATGCATGTAATAAACACTCGTGGCTGAAAAAAGAAAAATATCAAAGTTATAGAATTTCCAAAAATTAATAATAATAAAACACCATATATCAGAATCAATGAGACATATTTAAAGAATGATCAGAGGAGTATTAAAATAAACATAAATATACAAAACCAATAACTATAAAAGAATGAATATAGTGAACTAAGTTCCCAACTAAAATGCTAGGAAAAGAAAAGAGAATAATGTAATTCAAAAAAAGCAAGTGATTAAATTAAAAGCAAAAATAATTAAGGTAGAGCATAGGAAAAACAATAGACATAATTTAACTAATCAAAATCCTGTCTTTTGATTAACAAAGTGAACAAATTACTAGTTAATCAAGAGAAAAAGAAAGCACAAATATACAACATAAGAAATGACAAAAGGAAAACAACCACTGAAACAAGAAATTTTTTCAAATCATGAGACTGCTTTATAAATCATTGAAACCACAGTAGGGACGGGAAGCTTAACTACACCAATTTCCATTGAAGAAACAGAGAACGTTACTGAGGAACCACTAATAAACACTGGCCTAAATAGTGTTGCAGAGGGGTTCTACAAATTCCCCAAACACTGGATGGTCCCAATGATACGTAAATTGCTCCAGAGCCTAGAAAATGAACGACATTTTCAAATTCCTTTTTAATATTAAGACCTAAACATGATAAAGATTGCAGAAAGAAAATTACATACCAATATCACTTATATGAAAATACAAAATAAAATATTTTTTTATAACGGAACCCAATATCACAAGAAGAAAATAATACCCCATGATCAAGTAAGATTTATTAGAAGAATGCAATATTTGTTCACTATTAGGAAATTTATTAATATGATATACCATATTGATAGATCTAAGCAGAAAAACTACATGATTATCTCCATAGATGCTGAAAAATGTTTTGACCATCACAACACCCGTTTGTTTTGTTTTGTTTTTTTGGTGAGGAAGATTCACCCTAAGCTAACACCTATTGCCAATTTTTCTTTTCTTGCTTGAGGAATATTGTTGCTGAGCTAACATCTGTGCCAATCTTCCTCTATTTTTTGTATGTGGAATGCTGCCACAGCATAGCCTGATGAGCAGTGTGTAGATCCACACCCGGGATCTGAACCCATGAACTCTAGGCTGCTGAAATGAAGCAAGCAAACTTAACCACTACACCACCAGGCCAACCCCCCATTTGTAATTTTAGAAAACCCAGCCTATTGGAACTGGCTACTTTAAGGACATTGGATGCTATTCTGAATACAATGGGAAACCAATGGGGAATATTTAAGCAAAGCAGTAACGTGATCAGATCATGTTTCAAAAATCTCGCTCTGGTTTTTGCGTAGAATACAGAAGGGGCAAGTTTAGAAGCAAGAAGGTCAGTAGCAGCTACTTCAGTAACTTCTTGAAGTCTTGACCTGAACCGTGAGGGAATCCACATTCCAGGGAAGGAGAAGAAACAGGTGGCCCTTCAGGAAACAGCCTTAGAAAAGGTCTTAACCCGTTTTCAGGCCACCAGTTGCCAGGAGGAGCCACCTCAACTCCAAGGAGAGTCAGTTAAACATTATGAAATGTTTTATACACAGTTTCTTTTCTATGTAAGTAATTCTTGTATGAGTCTTCCATCGGACAGTTCAATTCGATGTTTAAATTATTATAGCTCTTCTAGGAGAGAATCCTCACAGTCGTGTTAAATATCAACACACAAAAAAATGGCTCTTCTCATTCAATTGCTATGAAATTGTTTTTAAAAGTGTTAATGTAGCCAGCCACAACTGCATTTTATTGATTTACATTTTTAGTTACACATTGCATGACTGAAAGTTAATCTGATGATGATTATCCATTGAGGAAATATTGGGGACTAATGAGAAGGTTAGAGATTCTCTTGAGTGGTGGCAGGCAGGGAAAGGGGATCATTCTCCATTATAAGTAGTATAATTGCCATATGAGACTACATAGACTGTAGAATTTGTTAGTGAGCATACAGATCAGGCCTTGTCTGTCTTTCCATCATAAACCCTAACCTTAAGGCTGGGACTTGACATGCAAGTGAATCTGGGAGAGAGGATTTGACGAACTAGACGTGGGTACCAAGCTAAGTTAACCTAGAAAAATATGGCTCCTACTTGCCTTTATGTCAGAAGATCCTTTTAATTAGAGACATCATTTTCCTTACCCTTTTTACTGGTAATTATTATGCCATCTGAACTTATTGTTTCATTCATATTTTTAAGCTGACTGTATGTATGTTCATAAAAATAATAGTGCAAATAGCTCTAAACCCTGCTTCAAAAGGACATTTTCCCTTAATTGAAACTCTGTTCCTCTTCCCTCAGAAGAGACTGAGATCCATTCTCTTGTTCTCTCGGCTGCTATCCATGCAATTAAAAAAATTGTTTTAAGTCTTTTTTTTTTTTTTTTGCTAAGGAATATTCACCCTGAGCTAACATCTGTGGAATCTTCCTCTGTTTCGTATGTGGGTTGCCACCACAGCATGGCCGCCGATGAGTGGTATAGGTCTGTGCCCAGGAACCGAACCCAGGCTGCCAAAGCAGAGCAAGCCAAACTTAACCACTAGGCCAAGAGGTCTGCCATCCCCGCAAATTTTTTATCCAAAGATGCAATCATGTTGCTTCTTCACTTAAAATCCTTCAAAATTCCTCAGCCGTCAGAGAATAAAGTCCATGGTTTCTAGCATCGTTTCCAAATCCTAAACCTCATAGCTGCCTTACCTCCCCGAGACACTCCCTACAATCTGTCCTCACTCTGTATTTGAGACACGTTTTCCCCTTCACGTGGAATAGCATTCTCTTATTCCCCTGTTTGGTGACCTTCTATTCATCCATCAAAATGCGCAGCTCAAATGTTATTGCCTTTGCCCAGGATTCTCTGGCATAGACACATTACTTCTCCTGTGTTTCCAACAGCAGCTGGGCCCGCATCCTCATTAGAGGATTTAAAATAATATTTAATTATTATTTATAAGTTTGTCTCTACCCAATATAGTGAGCTCTTGGTGATAGGAACTGAATCTTCATTTTTATTTATGTTCTTTTTTTTAATCAAGAAATATTTGTTGAGTGTCTAGTGTATGGCAAGTCATGAAGTGATAGAGAGTGATGGAGATGGAAAGAAGAAACTTAGAAAGGGTGAGCACGGAAAGACCCTTTAAGAAGATAACACTTGAAACAAGATCTGGCGGATGAAAAGAGCCAGCCAGTGAGGATCAGCAAGAAGAAAGAGCAAGTGGAGATAATCTGATACAGAAACAGGGTTGGCATGTTTGAGAACAGAAAGTGGCCCTTGAGACTGGGGCAGAGTGTGGGACGGGAAAACGTGGCGTGAACCAAATCCATGTCTGTTTCATAGCCCTCATACCGAGCCTAACAAACAGAAGGATTTATCAAAAATTAATTTCCTGAATCAATATTGTGTTAAAAAGATAAATTTTAACTAGTTAACTAAACAAGTTGTTTAGAATAACATAATTTAAGAAATTATGGGGTGCTTAGAATCTATCAAATCATACCTTTCACCACGAATCAGAAAAATAAGGCTTAGCCAGACACTGAGACTTATTCTCTAAAAGAGATTATCCCATGAAACCTTTCCAAGAAAGTAAGCAAGAAAGTGGACAATATTTTCAATTGCAATTCTACTGAATAAAGAAATGCTTTTCATAGCTGCTTCTTATGGTGATCCTTGATTAAAACTTAAGGCATATTAAATTATTATTCAGTGATATACTAGGAATCAATTTAATAAAGTCCAAATATATAGCTTTCTGTTTATCTGATTTGATCTAATGAAAAGTCTTAGAAAATCTAGAAGGGTAGTTTTCAAACCGTACAAGCCCTAATATTCAGGGAAGTTGCCCAGGGGATCCAAAGGGCTGAGGGCATAGCTGGATAGCCGGGTGGCACAACCCTGAATTCTACCTTTACCTAAATCAGATCAATTTTCCTTTTATCTACTTATTTATTGGATTTCTGCACAAGAATCCTTTGAAAAGGAGGTTATGCTACTCAAAAAAAAAAAAAGTTAGAAAACTATTGATCTAAAGAAAGAGGGAGTTACTGCCTGAACCACGTCTTTTCAAGCCACTTTAACGTCCACCGCATAAGTACTTCTCCAGGGCAAACTATAAAAGGCCAGTGCAGGCACACACTCACCTCGAAAGCCTCATTTCTGAACCTTGTTTCTTCACTTTTCATCACATGTGATTCCAACCTGTTACTGACACTCTTGATGCATCCTTCATATTTAATGTCTCCTTTCGTCTTGTCTTGCCCTTTGGACTTTGTGTTCCTCACCATTTTTCTGCCTATCACCTTGGACTTGGACACCTCTCCAAGCTATCCTGCCTTTCTCCAATTATACTGCTTTGGCTTACCGCTTCTATTCACTCTATTCTTTCCATTTAGCAGTGCTACCCTCCTAACCCTGGCATGACTCTCAGAAATGGTGCTCCCACCACGCCCAGCCCAAACCTTCACTGAGAATGGCCAGGAAGAGTCACTCTGCGGTAGCTAGAACGTTCTACAATACCAATTTTCTACCCGACCCTCACTAGAGTCTACTCTCGACCTGACCCCTTCTTTATCTTTTTTTCTGCTCTTGTTTCTGTTTTTCTTCTCTCATCTCTTACTGTGAGACCAGGAGTGGCCACTCCACAGCAGAGGAAAGAGCACAGTCGTTTAGTTGTAGAAGGCAGGAGTTTCCATCTGTGAGATCTTGAACGATCACCAAATATATCACAGAAGCTCTCTAATCACCCCTATTTCATGTTTCTGGATGAACGACATGGCGTCATGTATGTGAAAACAACTTAGAATGTACAAATTGCCACATAAATGTCAGTTATGATTATGCTTTCAGCTATAGACAAATTTCAAATGATTCCCTTTAATAAG